CTGAAATGACCTAAAAACCATAAGGTGAATATGAGATCATTTCTAGGCTATAAACGTTGGTGGCCTAGAAAACCCTTACTTACAAAAGTTAGGCCACCATGCTAAAATGACCTAAAAAGGACTTGTTATTCAACTGTTGTGTTTCCTATTGTGTTTCCTAGGCCATTCTGACATGGTGGCCTAACTTTTGCAAGTTGAGTTTTCTTGGCCATCATGCTAAAGTAAATTAGAAATGGCCTAGAAACCGCGTGGTGTGCTTTTAAGCCATTTCGGCATGGCGGCCTAATTTTTGCAAATGGAAATTTTTAGGCCATTAACTTTTACAGCCTAGAATAATTAGGCCATCATGATAAATTACCTGGAAAACATATCCGGTAAATGTAAGGTCAATTCTAGGTAATTCACCATGGTGGCCTAACTTTTGCAAGTTGATTTTACTAGGCCACCATGTTAACGTGGCTTAGAAACCCAACAGGTGAATATGAAGTCATTTCTAGGTAATTTTGACATTATGGCCTAGAACACGTAACTTGCAAAAGTTCGGCCACCATGGTAAAACAACCTCATAGTGCAAAATCAGTCGTTTTTCACATATTCTATGACCAAAATCGCGCGCCAAATTCAAATTTCGCACTCTCTTCCCATCAAATTCTCACCTGAAACCGATAATACAGTTTCGTCAAATCATCAGTCGTTGGTAGGCCCATCTTCTGATTAACCGTCTGTGTGACTGATTCCAATTTCGCAATCGCCTCCTCTGCATTCTTTTTCTCCTCAGATCCTGGGACCAAATACTCCGAATAGCGAAGCATGAGCAATTTATATCTCATGAAATTCTGATGGACTTGGTCCAGCTGCTGAATGACGGCACCCTTTTTGCCGCGCTTGAATTTTTTTAGTTCGAACTGAAAATCGCTTTTATTTTAATTGAAGACAATGAGTTCGATTATCTCGGTTACTGTAAGAGATATCAGAAAGTGATAAACTGTTAAAATATTTATCATTATATCAGTAACATTTTGCCAGTCGACAAAATTTTCATAGCTTTCATAGGAGCCGAGATAATTGCGCTTAAAGTAGAGGCTTGAAGAAAAATTTGCAATTTTTGAGTCCTTAAATTTGAGCTCAATTATCTCGGCTCCTGTGGGAGCTATGAAAATTTTGTCAACTGATAAAATGCTTATCACGTTATCACTAATATTTTATCAGCTGGCAAAATTTTGATATCTTACACAGACCCCGATAAATGGGCTCTAAGTTAGTTGGCCAAATGAGCGATTTTTGAACTCTTAATTTTGAGGTCAATAATCTCAGTTACTGTAAGAGATATTAAAAAGTGATAAA